GCCCCCCGCCAGACGGATCAAAACAACCTGCCCCCGCCGGGCCCCGCCACGGCCCCTCGGGCCCAGCTCGTGTGGTGGTGCACAAGGCGAGACCGCACCGGCCCGCCCGGCCAGCCAGGGCCTTCGCACCAGCGGCTTGTGCCTCCAACCGAGAGATTTCCACCACCCCCCCTTCCCCCGTACGCCGAAATAATAACGAAATACTGTATTCCCTTCCCGGGCGGAAACCAAGCAGCAATGACGTCACTGCAGCGGTGCCGGCCGCCCGCTCCGCGTCCTCGGCGTGGGCGGCCGCGAGGGGGCCGAGCCGGCAAGAGGTTACTGCTCTCGAGCCGCTGTTCAAATTCTGATGAACTCACCGCCACCACTGGAACACTGTGGAACACTGTGGAACACTGTGGAACACTGTGGAACACTGTGGAACACTGTGGAACACCCGGCCGGTGAACAGGCCGGCGACGGGGGGGTATACAAGAGGCCGGGGGACGCTTGTCCTCCGGGGGACGCGGTCAAGAGGATCGACGTCGACCTCCGCGGCGACATCGGCGGCGTGCGACGACGACGCGGGGCAGCGACGGCGGCTGTCTGGCTGCCCCGCCCGGCTCAGGTCAACGAACGCGTCACATAACTAACTCCATCAAGCCCCCGAAAGAGGTGCGGGAGCGGAGGTCAGGAGACAACAAGGCAAGGACTCCAAAACAAGTCGGCCAGGCGGCGACAGTCGGCCAAGTGTAACTTGGCCCTCCCTCCGGCCCGCCCCGCGTCGTCCTGCCGTCCGTCCCCCCACCCTCGCGCCGAGGCCGCCCCACAGGATCAGGATGCCCTACGCATGCACGCCATGGAATGAAACCGTGGCCGTTGTGAACGACATGTGTGGAGCCTGTGGGCTGTGGGGCCCGGCGGCCCGGCCCGGCAGTGCCCCGGCGGCGGAGGCAGCGGCAGTGGATCGGATGCCCAGGAAATGCCCCGCCCTTGGCACTTCCGGCGCGACAACACATTTACGGCGCACTGCCCCGACCCGACCCGCCGGCTCCGTTCCCGTTCACCCAACGGCAGGAGCGTTCAGTCAACGACAGGAGCGTTCACCCAGCGACAAGAGGGTTCGAGCAACGACAGGAGCGTTCACCAAGCGACAGGGGCGTTCACCCAGCGACAGAAGGGGGAGGCAAGGCAGAGTCGAAAGATTTTTATTTTCGGTTGCTCCAATGCTCACTACTGCAGTCTCATTTTTCTTTCGAACGCAAATGTGTGTTCATGCCAAAGTTCTCGCACCAGAGCTCGCTACCTGACCAACATGGACTTCGCGAAAACGGATACAGGACGATATGGGCAAAAGCCAGAGCGGGCGGCGACGGAGGCTTTGCTAGCTTACTGGCGGACAAGGAGAGCTTGGTGGAGCTGGAAGAGCTGACGTTTCCAGCCCCCTCCCCCTCTCCCGCCTCTCTTGGCTCCCAATGGAGACTCCAGCATTTAAACTCATTGGGGAGATGGCGCCCCTAGCCCGTATGCACTAGCGATGCTATAATCTGCCCTCATGGAAATTCTCTTCTCTTTTAAGAGGAAAAAAAAAGATAAATAGGACACATGCCTAACTTGATACCTTTCTTTTCAGAGGCAGGCCCTGGAAGGTTCAGTGTACTAGAAGGTGGAGAAATAATGTTTGTTTCCAGTTTGAAAACATTTGGTTTTTCACAAAGCAATAATTAGGAAAAATCAATCTTGTTACTTAAGAAAATTTGTATGACAACTTACTTGCACTAACTGCCACAGCTCCTAATGTTTCTAAGGGAGTGCTCTCTTGATCCTGTTCGCTCTGATTTTCCAACATTGCGCTGTGGGATGGCTCATCCCTGTCCACTGTAAATAAAAATTTAGCGTGTAAATCACTGTTTCACACACAAATAACAATAGAGTCAAGAGGATGTGAAAAAGACTCTAGTTTTCAAAATCTGTGCAGAAATAGAAATATGTTGACAAAACTTCGTTTTCAAATGACTCCAACGCAGGTTTGTCACATGATTTTGCCAAGGAAAGGGTTCAACTGAGAGTTGTTCAGTTAAAAGGAAAGTACAGAAAATATCGTTGAAGAAACAAAATTCTTCTTAACTAGCTTGAACTCAAGGACTACTCTTGTTTCAATACAAAAATTAAAATAGTTTTAATTGTATCCTAAATATGACAGACCACCCCAAAAAACTGACTAACTGTATTAATTAATAAATTTATACGCTTCCTTATCACACTGGGCACATCTGTTGTTACAGCATAGCATAAACTTTATACACAAAGAAAACAATGGACATGACAGGTCTGTCATAAATAAAATGAATTAATGAAAACATAGTAAACAGACGAAACTGCCCTCTCATTTTTTGTTTGTTTAAAGGAACATCATCAGCCTAGAAAAGAGAATCCAAAATGCTGAAAGATAACATTAAAAGATACATGTATAGCCTCAGACAGTACTGCACCTTGGCCACATTTGCAGGTTAGGGTTATTTACTGAGAACGTACCAGCTTGGAAATAAATAGTTTTATACGAATTAAAAGGAAAGGAAAAGAGATAATTACAGGCAAAACTTATGTTTGCAAAGAAGTTTGGTTAGACGACGAACGGTCCAAGTTTCTTCCACGTAAAATGTCATTGTCGACTAGCGAATCTGATGAGTGTGGCCCAAGACGAAATAACGTGACAAATCATAAAAGAAACCATGGAAAAAATTAAACTTACCTCCATCAGCATCCTCCCCGACCTCTCTATTCACCATTTCTGAAATAAAGTGAATACAAGGTTCTGAATAACTTGCTTCCTGCGGCGAAGTACGATTTTCGGATCTGGCCCACTAACATCAGATATACCACTTACCCGCCATGATGGAAAGTAAAACAAACTCCGTCTTGTCGGAAAATTTCCCTCTCTCGATTTACCAATACCATTCATCAAATCATCTATCGAGAAATCACTACACAAATGCAAAAAGTTGTTCTAGAGTGAAACTTTGAGAAATAAAATGTTTGTCTTCGATTTTGTTGCTGTCATACCTCCATCCCTCCTCCATGCATTAGGTCCTCGAAATTTCCCCAATACTACAAAGTTGCAGGACGGCGGGACAATAATTAAAATGGCCAAAATGTCTTATATCGTATTTCAATCCACTAGATTTTTAAAGTTAATACAGTTGTTTCCCCACAGTTTACTTTTAAAAATCGGCATTATCTCCATTTGCGGTTTTCTTGTGTTGGTACAACAGCGCGCGGCCTTTCAAGTGGGAACTGGCACCTGTTACCTTCCACAAACTTGAGAAAACTCAAACTTCAAATTCGTTGGTTGAATTAATGTTGAGTTGAAATAAGTTAACTAAAAACAAATGTGAGAAAGTATGAGCATTCGATAGCATACAGAATGATTTAATTTATTTCAATAAAAATATGTTTATAACACACAACATTCAACAAAATTTACACATTTTAAACAAGAACATGACAATATACACAAAATGAATAGATTCCCTTAAATTCAGTGACTATAGAACCTCAAAAGGTGCTATTGGCGGTTGGCAGGAAGACACTCTAGAAGACTAACTGAGCTTTAATAAAGTCAAAAAAAGTCTTAAGTGCATAATCCTATCTTAAATACTTGCATCATCAGTGAAAAATGTGCACAAGTTCAACAAAAGTTGACAAATTTTAACTAAAATTACTTTAAATATGGCATCATATACTTCAAATTGAAACTAACATGCAACATCACAAACATTTTCCATACAATCAAACAGAAGGCCATCAAGAGTAATGACATGCTTCATTAGGTTAAATAATTCATTCTGTTTATTAATCATAACGTTTTAACTCCACAATGTGACTCACAAACTGTTTATAAAGTCTGTCTTTTCTCCAAAACATAATATTTTGTAAATTTTGACCTTGGTTTCAGAAACACTGAAACATGAAACTTAGAGCAAGGGATCTAATCACTTGACATGTGGAAACAAAGAAGCAGCAAAAAAGTAAATTTCTAGCATGTTTTATGATAAGCTGTAGCAACAAAGCAGAAGTAAACCAAAATATAAGCTGATTGTACTATTGCCAGAGCATGTCTTTTAAAAAACTTGGTGCCTTGATACTGCTTGTAGTCATGAACCAAAATGAAAAAAAAAAGAAAGAAAAAAAAAAACTTTCTTTGAACAGGAAGACATTGACGTTTCTTGTTGGAGTAAGAAGAACAAGCCCCCCAAGTACGTAATCATCACAATTATTTTATAAGAAGAAAAAAAAAAAGAGACTCAAGGTGGCCCACCATTTAAACCTGGAACCCATCACCCATCATTTTACATTTTGTTGTTTTTGATGCAGCCCGAGTTTTGCTAAGAGTTTAGAAATGTAATAAAATACATTTTCACAAATTATGAACATGTTTGAGTGACCATATACGGATCTACTGATAAATGATGGGTACTAATGGGTCCCTCATAGAGACACCCGTTTAATGCCTGCAAAATTTGTGAAAATGTATGTATTGCTCTACTAAACTTCCAACTTACATTTAGCAAACTCAGGCCGCATCAATAACAGCAAAATCTGATACGATGAGTGATGAGTTCCAGGTTTCATTGGAGGGCCACCTTCAGATAGATTGGATTAGATGTGTAACAGGCATGCAAAATTTATAGAGAAGCCCAAAATGTAATTATTTTAGGACGAGAGAGGGAGAGAAGGAGAAGTTGAAGAACTGTAAGTGAAAAACAGAGAAAACCTAATAGCTATTAAGGCTGATAAGCAGGATAAAAGCTTACAGGAGAGAATTTGATCAAATTGGTTTCAAAATTATTAATAACTTAACAATTTTACTCTGAACACTACCTACTGTTGAAGAATATGAATTTGTGGCTAGTCGGAAGATTAGAGATCATGAGATCATTTAAACTACCAAACGTAAATGCTCATGGTAGACTCTACCCACTGCAATCTTCGTTTCACTTGAACTTCATTCAAAATAGAAGTACACTACTGCCATCAAGTCGACAAAAACATTTGTAGTAAAAATATGGAACTTCATAAGATATTCAAAATGCTGAAAAGACTGTACAAATACTGAACAGCATCTTCTTGCAACACTGAACGTCAAATTCACTAAAACCCTGATCTCTCTTCAGTTGGCATTGTGAACCTATGAAAAACACTACCAGAAAAATGTAAAAAATACTATCATGTGGATACTAATATAATAAAAACCACGAAACAAAAGACTATCTTCTCTAGAGCCAAAATTTGAAAATATGGAATAGTCAAAAATGTCTATAGTGCAGGAAATGTCATCTCTACACCTGCAGGTAAATTGTGAAATGAGATGTACAAGCAAATAAGGTGAAGAAATTCAGTATCAAACAACAAGAAAATTACTATACCAAAGCAATATTTAGATTAGGTTATTTCAATCAAAGAATAGAATTATAGTTTCAAAACCATTGTTGGCTGAATCGTTTCAAAATTTTGAGGTAATATTGTTGGAATACATTTTAGTATGGTAGTCACACTCAATACTATTGTAGTTCACTTGTAATTAAAATGATACCTATCCTAAGATCAAAAATACTCGAATGACGGTTAGTAAAATATTGAGCTTTTAACACTGTTTTTCTTACCCAGGTTAAACCCTCACAAAGGCTCAGTATTTGTCATGGATAAAACAAAGAAAGCAGTAGTCAAAAAACTTTGTTTAAAAATTTCTGCCAACTTTACCACGTACAGTCTTGAAGAATACAAACAAAGCAATTTAATTATTTATGATAAAAAAAATACTCACGCGGGTGGCAAGATACAGTCAAAGAGCAACATAAATGAGATTTGGATAACAAATTATCATGGCCTTGTACACAAAATAGTGCCCTGTTCAATCCCTTTTTTAATCAATTTAGATGAGAAAGTGTTCGTCAGATTGTTGTCAAATTCGCAGTAGGAAATCACACAATTTGTATTAACTTGATGACCCTGCAGTAAAGATGTTGAATAATTATAGGTCATGAATATAAAGTTCACTTGAACTTAATAGCATGCAAATCGTAACAGTTCGTCTTTTACTTTTAAAATAACACAATAACTCATCTAAGTTTCATGCTGGCAAAACTAGACTCAGGCAAAATGAGGCAGACTTATATCAACCTTGTGGTCAGGTGCTATTCGAGTAGGATTTTGAACATATTGGCAGAAATGCATGAATCGTCACGGCAGATAACACTGACAATATACATTTGAGGAACCTTGATTTCATGAGAAACCTCTCAGTAAATTCCATGCAAGTTGGGAACGCTTGAACTACTGGAGTTTTTCTAAGGATCCTGAACACAAAAACCTTTAGATGGAAGATCCAGCAATTCACAGTGACTACTACATTAACACATGGGTAAAGATCATGACTTATTGTCATACAAGCGTATGTGCTTCAATATTGAGTTCGACCCTTTCAGAAAGCCATCTATGAACACAAAGATTAGATATTTTTTATGGCATGTCAACTTTTGACACTATTGGTGCTCTGCACATGGGGCATTCACGAAGCTGATCAGCACATCTCGAGCAAAATCCCCTGTTAAAGAGAAATAAGAAACCAGTAAGTTTTTTAAAGCACAATAATACTACATGACTAGCACTATTTTTCTTTACTGAAATGTTCTTACATTTATTTCCTTGTCTATCTGTACAAGAAAATAAATTTAGATTTGAAAAATGTTACTTTTGATCTTACCAGTGGTGACAGGGAAGGAGTCTTACTGACGCCTTCTTGTCAAAACAAAGGGTGCAGGAGTCTTCCCGTACACTAAGTTTGCTAAGCTGTTGTAGAAATATATGCCTAGAAAGCAAAATTTATTGAATAGACAAAGACCACTTAGGAATGCTGAGAAAAAAAGAACATTCAAGAAGATGGCAGGTCTACCTTGGGAGAATTACTTTGTCCTCTGGGCTCAACTGGGCACAACCATTAAAACTTTTAAATTCTCGATCAGTAGGAGGGTAGTGGAATGGTACCGATCCAAAATTAAATCTGCATTGCTGATAAGACATAAAACTTGCAGCAGCAAAAAATCCTTTGCTGTGTAACAGAAAATACAGAGAACATATAATAGATACCTAGATCTTATACAGAGTATATATAGAATCCACGTTTCTTCTTTTGTTAAAGAAAATACCTGGCAGTTTTGAAAACTTCAGTACAAGGTGGAAGGGGTTCACCATTAAGATAAAATATGATTTCTTGTTTGTCAAGGTCAAGTAATGAACCTAGGATATCACCAGGTTTCCAGACATCACGGTTCTGTTTTTGACTGTGAGCTTTGTACCACACCAGACGTCTGCAGCCATCATAAGATAAAGAGTGCTCATCATCACCAATGCCATAACCCTCCTAAGGGAAACAAAATCATAGAAAAATATAGGTGACAACACAATACTTAATTCTGCTTCAAAAGTTGGTTGACATACATGATTTAAAAATGAGCTGTCTTTAGTGGCCCATCCAATCTGCATAACACCAGGCGTTATTATTAGTGTTTCATAGAACCAAACCCCATTATCAACTTGGAATGTGCATCTCACACTTTCAAAAGAGTATGCATCACATCTGGCCTGAATATTAAAGATTAGATTAGATTAAAGACCACCAAATTAAACAAAAAAATTATAATTTGAAAACAGTACACGGCTGAGAGAAAAGATACCTACTTCCAATCCATCAGGTGAAATTTTCAGGTACTCACTCACATCCTTTGTGTTGAGCATAACATTTATTCCTTCCACATTAACACATTGATATGAAAATACTCTATCTTTCACGATGACTAAGAACAAAAATAAACTTCATGAGGTATTATTGCCAAACATGATAAGATTAATAAAGAAATAAGGGTAGATATACTCACAAATATTATCCAAACACCACTGAGCACAAAATCCAACTTGTCGTTTAAAATAGCACTGTGAATCTACCCATTTTTCTAATTGCAAAATTGGATGGGATTCCATAGACTCTAGTTGTTTATTGATAGTCACTTTATTTTCCGCTACAAATGACAGGTGAAAACAAGCAAAGTGATCAAGGAGGTCACTGGCACGCAGTTATAAGGAAACAAAAGGAGTACTTACTGGTTTGAGCAAATTTTTCCAGAGCAATAAGGGAAAACAATATTACAGGTGGTTCTGCAGTTGGGTCCTGAAAAAATATTATTTGGTGTGAGTTTAAGCTTGAAAATAAATCAAAAAACTTTGAGAAAAAATGCAAGGCATAAGAGAATAAATTCCCACCAAATTTTTAATGAGGTAGTTTAATGTTGTGTCTGTAAGAATAGCTATGCTGCTTGGTCCAGACAACTTTTCTGCCAAAAGACCTAACAAGACACAGGTGTTTCTATGTTGAGGAGAACCTTGAGAGTAAACTTGCATGGAAAGATTTAGAATATTTGATAATTTCATTACACATTCCTGGAATAAAAGAATAGTCCATCATTAGATGAGCAAGAAAATAACTGTGCTAAAAAATATAAAAATATGAAGTAAATACCTTTGTCGGTAGTGGACAGTCATCAAATAATAAGGTAATTACAGCAGGACCTAGAGGATGATGAATTGGGATCACTCGAATCATTGATGTTACAACCTGAATCCACCCATCCTCTTGATCAGCAATGGCATGCAGTGTCAGTATTGATGTAGGTGGCTCTTGATCTCTGTTAAATACAAGTAACAGAATGTTTACGTAGAATTGGTGCAATACAATTGAACCAACAATATCCTTAAAAAAAGGTTACTCACGTTTCTACATAAGTATCTATTACATTTAATGTTTCAAGTACTAATTCATCTACAGTATCCATATGTATTGCCGTTGAAGCCGACTTAAATCCACACTGAGAAATGGGTCGGTAGTGGTCATCAATGAGTCCATTGCTGGCGCTGTTTGGCAAAGGGGTTGTGTCCTCATCTTTGCACACGCATCCCCCCATCACTTGATGAATAACCTGAGGGATCATAAAGACACAGCATTAAAGGTGGAATCGACTTATTTATAATAGAAAACTTGTTTGTTTGGAGTACGGATATTGCAAATTATGAGGAGAGAGCAGTCTGTAGGGCTATACACAGAATCTCAGAGAACAGTCAAAGAAAACATGTAAATAAAATAAATCATAGTAAAAGTATTCATGATGAAAAATTTGCAGAAGATTCCAAATTACTCAATTTTTTCCTATTTTCTGGTATAGTTTTAGGTTAGGACTACTCAACAGAAGGCAGGTGGCACTGCCCCACCTGATTATCCTGAGGTGAAAATAAGCATTTAGGGCTCCGTTGGGCAACTCAGCCTCCTCCGAAATAGAAGACAAACCTTCAAAAGCAAAATGTTCTTTCTTCGTCACAAATGTTAAGTTCTGTCGTTAGATTCCATGGACTAATCTTCTAAAATAAACGTCTCTTTGCTCTATAGTCGACCCACGGACAGATCAACACAAAAATGTAAACAAGGTCACTGTCGCCGAGCGTTTCACGCAACTCATGCCCAACTTCAGAAATATTAAAGTGCATTCATATTTTGGATCTTAATGTAAGACAGTGGTCTAGGCGTAGCAGATCCGCAATAAGTGAAAGTCATAAAGATTTTGTTTTCTGATTTTTAAATGGTAAAAGAAATATGTGCGGCATAAGTTGGTGGGGCGGAGAAAGGGAAAAGAGGGGAAAAGGGGGAGGGGGAGCGGGGGGATTTCGACAGATCGACTTCCATTCAATGAGTCGAAACATACATGTGAGGAACGCACACTGGATGAGCAAAAAGAGTCAATGAAGAAGAAAGTCAGCGAAATCCGCCTTTTATTCACAAGTCACATCCAAGATAGCGATCGGATGAACCAATAATAATCAACCAAATGTCTTTTCTTTGCGACTAGGTACTTTTGCGAACAGGCAAACATGTCATGTCCATAAAGGAACCCAGAGTACCAAAGTCCAAAGGTCCTTCCACGTCCCGAACGAATGAATGAGGTAGTTGTTCACGGTTGTACGCTAAGTGGGTGTATTTTGGACCCTGTAATCACTCTCCTACTGACCCACGAAGGGTGCGTTTAATTCCTATCGAGCCCTACTGGCATTTCCTCTCATAGTAAATTCAACGGCAAACAGCAAAGCACTATCGCGTGAGCTCCCCCCTGGCGCGCCGCTACTCCACGCCACCCTACTTTGGCCCCGCTCGCACGTCAGCTCCGTCAGCTCCTCGCTCAGATGTTGGAGAGATTGGCCCGAAGCTCGTTGGCTAGGAAACTTGTGCGCTCGTTCACGTCGTCTCCAGCTTGGTTCAACATGCCTTACACCACGATCGAAAGGGGCCAGCCCAACAGCTTGGACTACCGCGTCTACATCAGTGAGTTAATTTGGAGGCCGGGGAGTTTGTGACCGCCCTTGCTCTGTGCATTACAGTGTACTTGCTATCGGTGCTCTATGCCGGCTCCACTACTGCTTGCCCCGCGCGCCCGATGCCGTGTGCACTGTGGTGTCTTTTCAATGACGCAATTGTTCAAGTATGGCAAAAAGTTCGGGCTGCCTCCCAACACTGCCATGACAGTGTCGTCTCGATACGAGACGTATTTTAAGAAAAGTTTGATGAAGGTATAGGTTAAGCTTACTTCAATCATTATACTTTTCTATGGACCATATTGTTCTATCCTTTGAATGAAAATCAAGGGAAAAGGTGCCCTGTCATAAGACTCCTACCTTGAATCCACTGTGAAGGACACTGCTGATGTTGAGAGATGCGGTTTACTAAACAAAAATTCTCTTTGCCCCTGTCAGGTGACGAGAATGGACCAATCTCACCACTTCATGACATTCCAATGTACGCTGATGCTGCCAACAAAGTGTTCAACATGCTGGTTGAAGTACCAAGGTGGACAAATGCCAAGATGGAGGTCAGTCAACTGCATCATCGTTGGATTTTCTTGACAACCGTCCACTCATGCTCATGTACTAAGTCATTCCGTTTTCCTCTAGATTAACCTGAAGGAAATTATGAACCCCATTAAGCAGGATGTTAAGAAGGGTAAACTGAGATTTGTTGCAAACTGCTTCCCTCACCATGGTTACATCTGGAACTACGGTGCCATCCCCCAGGTTTGTGACAGCAATTTATTGGACACCATTTGTATTTAATACATTTTAAAATTATTCTATTGCTTTTGTTTTCAGACTTGGGAAAATCCAGAGCATCTTGATGATTCTACTGGGTGCAAAGGAGACAATGATCCCATTGATGTCATTGAAATTGGTTACCGGGTAAGAATTCTCGCAATTATCTAACAAAATCCTGCTTTTTTGAGTCAAAATTATTGATTTCTTTGCTCTCTTAAATTTGTAGGTTGCCAAGAGGGGAGAAGTTATGCAAGTTAAAGTACTTGGAACTGTAGCTCTTATTGATGAAGGTATTTTTATTTATTTTTAAAGATTCTTTTCGGATTTGTGCTGCAAAAAATAGACATCTATTTTTCCCCCAAGGTGTTGCTATGTAATGGCCTAAGTATGATGTCTTGTAATATAATGTATGTTACCTACCTTTCTCAGGTGAAACCGATTGGAAAATCATTGCAATTGATGTGAATGACCCCGATGCACCTCTCCTAAATGGTGAGATTCTTTCATTTCATTTGTCCTTATATTGCTGAATCCAGTAGTGCTAAATTTTATTAATGTCGTTCCAGATGTTAGTGATGTTGAAAAACTGAAACCTGGACTCTTAAAGGCAACTTTGGAGTGGTTTAAAATCTACAAAATTCCTGATGGCAAACCTGAAAATAAATTTGCCTTTAATGGTGAAGCAAAGAACAGAGAATTTGCCCACAAAGTTATTGATGAAGTCCACAAGTTCTGGCAGCAACTTGTGAAGAAGGAAGCTGAAGCTGGTGGCATATCCTGGTAGTTATTTGCCCTGAAATATCATGATATATTTTAAAATAAGTTCACCAATGAGTTTTCTTTTCTTTTCTTTTTTTTTGTTCCTAGTGCCAATGTTACTGTAGCAGACAGTCCATTTGCCATTCAGAGAGGTGATGCTCAAGACGTGGTGGACAAGAGCCCTCAGCCAGGAAGTGCCCTCCCCATTGAGCCCATTGGTAAGTTCTGTAATTCAAATTTCCACCCCAATATTTCCTGCCTCTCCATATGGTTATGATTACAGACCTTGATTTATGGCACTACATTACCCAAACTAAAAAGAAACTCTTCAAGCTTTAAGTGGTTGTTGCCACATCTTGATTTTTCTACTTTCCCCTGCCCTTGCTGTGTCCATCAAATTGTGTTCCAAGACTCTTCCCCACATTTAAGGTGTTAATAATAATCTTTAGTTCCTATGCTAGCTCTAAATTCTTAAATGATATTGTAATCCCCTCTGAGTTCTATTGAAGCCATAGAAATTAATCCGTGTTTTTTTTATTTTATTTTTTGCAGTGGACAAGTGGCACTACGTATCACTGAAGTAAGAAAAGAAAGAAAAATATGGTTCATCAAACATTTATACCACTTGCACCTCCTAGCAGTACGCTGTGATCAAGTTTTCTTGCTTAGATAATAAAGTACAACCAATTTTTAAACTGTCTTGCAACCTTCACTCAAGTCCTCTAATGCACCCACCTCCACCACTACCACCACCTACATTACAGTATCTGCCATCTTAGTACGTTTACTTTGAATGAACTCAATACCAGTTACTCAATACAAAAGTCCTCTGCACTTCGGGCTCGCATCGTGCGGCTTCATCTGGGCCATTCAGCAAGTGGAGTTGGCTTTTAGGGCCGTATTGAGGAGACGTCTGCTGGTCGATACTCGATCGACATACGGCGCACGCGATGCACGACCCTACTAGTTTAACTTCCCATGCAGACGTACGATAATCACTAGCGGCATTGCTGGCCCTGAATTCCTGATTGACTTTGGATTGCGACGGTAATTGCCCAAGACCCCCTGAACGGCTCTCATGGGAGCAGGGCGTGCTCAACAGGGGGAATTCCAAAGCCAGCGGGGGCAAAAATGTAGCAGATGTTACCGACTTTGGCCTCATCTTCGACATAAATGGCTAAACTGGCGTTAGAAGTACATAGAAGCTATCGGTGAATTTTTTTCGGGGAAGGGGGAATGGGGGTGCTGGACAGGACATAATGGATCTACTACGTGGAACCACTACGTAGTGGTTGCCCCCCCTCCCCTAAACAAACGCAATATTTCTCGATTATTCGCCAATCGAATAATAATAAAACTTTACGTAAATGGCACGTGACGTGACAAGCTTAGTAAAGCGAACCAATGATGACACAAGGCTTTCCCCGATTTCCCCCCTCCATTTCACTCTCAACAGCTGGCTCGGCGCTCCTCCGCTCCGCTCTCAGCTGCTTCTGCTGATTAGGCTCAGCTCAGTCAGTCGAACGGCTCGGTTGGCACTCAGCTGCAAGTCTTCCTGGCGTGGACATCACCAGCCACCTCCGTCTTTGTCTTCGTCTACCTTAGAAGTTGAAGTTGAAGCAATGTCTCAGTTTGAAGGAAAGGTACTGTTGGTCTTTTAAACATAGTATTGTCTCGCAGTGGAAATACCGATGTTTGAGGAGAGGTTAGAAAGCCGGTATATTTACTCATATTTACTTATCTTATTGTTCATAATTTTTGACATTTTCTTTGAGGGCTACTGATCGCATGAAGGGGGAAGATCCGTTTTAAAAAATTCAAGTTTTTGAGAGTTGTCGAGAGCTAGCTATGATCTAGACTTGATGCTGTAGAAAGTTGACCTTCCTCTCTTGAACCCCCCTATCACTTGTTCTTCTCCACACGCCCACACACATGAACTTGACCTGTTGCGACAAACAACTCCAATCAGTGCTTTCATCTCCCTTATCATTGTAGAGAAAGTTGCTCAAGGTTCTTTCTCTCAAAATAGTTTAAGGGTATCCCCGATCTCTTGAAAGAATTCTTGATATTAATGGGAAAATTTTGCTTTTACAGGTAATCAAATGCCGCGCTGCTGTTGCATGGGCTGAGAAGCAGCCTTTGAAGTTGGAAACCATTGAAGTTGCTCCCCCCAAGGCTGGTGAAGTATGTATTCCTTTAATAATAGTTTTTATGGCAGTTTTCAGTATTCTGGCATTCCTTTACGAGGCTAAAATTGTTTCATGTACAGGTCCGTGTCAAAATTCAATCCACAGCAATCTGCCACACTGATGCATACACCTTGGACGGTCATGATCCTGAGGGTCTCTTCCCCTGTGTCTTGGGTCATGAGGGTGGTGGTATTGTTGAAAGCATTGGAGAGGGTGTTACCTCTGTGAAGCCAGGTAAAATCACAGCTTTCCAACTTTTCCGATTTCTTATTAATTTTGCCTTGCTGAAGAATTAATGATTTTTCAGGTGACCATGTTGTCCCTCTGTACATTCCTCAATGTAAAAACTGTAAATTCTGTGATTCCAAAAAGACGAATCTTTGCAGCAAAATTCGTTTAACTCAGGTTTGTTTTTTGCAATTTGATTTATCCAACTTGATTCTAAAACTATATATCATTTAACTAGAATTATTTTTCAGGGGAAGGGTGTTATGCCCGATGGTACCTCTCGTTTTACCTGCAATGGCAAAACTCTCTACCATTTCATGGGCTGCTCTACCTTCAGCGAATACACTGTTGTGGCTGAGATTTCTATTGCCAAGGTTTGTTGAATCTAGTCTTGTTATTGTGGTTTTTGAAAATGACTCCTTTCATCCTTCCCATTTTTAATGCTCTTCTTAATGATTGCAGATCAATCCTGCAGCTCCTTTGGATAAGGTGTGTCTACTTGGATGTGGAGTTCCTACTGGCTATGGAGCTGCCCTTAACACTGCGGGAGTTGAACCTGGTTCAAACTGTGTAATTTGGGGACTTGGAGCAGTTGGTCTTGCTGTTGCACTGGGCTGCAAGGCTGCCGGTGCAAAGACTATAATTGGTGTTGACCTAAACTCAGACAAGTTTGAAGTTGGTATGTGCTGGGCCACCCACTTTTTAAGGGAAATTCTGTTCCCTTTTCCTCATCTTATATTAATTTCTTTTTTTAACTTTGATTGCAGCCAAGAAGTTTGGATGCACTGACTTTATCAACCCTAAAGAATTGTCTCGCTCTGTTCCTGAAGAACTTATTGAGAGGCTGGATGGTGGAGCAGACTACACTTTTGAATGCGTGGGAAATGTTAAGTGCATGGTATGAAAGATTCTGTTATTTAGGTGAATTTGTTGAATATTGAAACAAATTATTTTCGTTAAACGAACTGACAACCTTTTCTTTATCCACAGAGAGATGCTCTTGAGTCTTGCCACAAGGGATGGGGAGTCTCAGTAATTGTTGGTGTTGCAGCTGCTGGACAGGAAATTTCAACTCGTCCTTTCCAACTTGTTACTGGACGTGTTTGGAAGGGCACTGCTTTTGGTGGTAAGTTTTAAAGTCCATTTCCACATTAATTATGTCACAATTTTTTTTTAACATCTATCTAATTTAATCTCAATAGGATGGAAGAGCCGTGACAGTGTGCCTAAACTGGTTGATGATTATATGAACAAGAAACTTATGTTGGATGAGTTCATCACTCACAATCTCCCCTTTGATAAGATCAATGAAGCTTTTGAGGTGTTGCACTCAGGACAGGGGTAAGATCTTCTAATTTTAGGTCTTCTAATTTTGATCTGTTTTACTTAGACTGGTGTCTTATTCAGATTGGATTCTCTTTCTCATGGTTCTACTTTTTTTCTTTTTCTAGAATCCGCGCTGTTGTCAACTATTAAATTATCCAATGTCAAAGAAGTTCTGATCCCTTCACAATCCACCTGTAATTTTTAAATAGGGAAATGAGCCTTGCATATTTTTTTAAGTCTCCATTAAAGCTTTTTAAGTAAGTTAAGACTTATTAGTATTGACCCCTTCTCTTACTTTTGATGTACATTGTACTTGATTTGATAGGTAACACAAGGGGTAAACAACAAAAATTGTGACATTCATTTTTTATTATGTATTCAGTTTCATGCTATGTGGCATATGCCATTAACATGATTTTTTTCAGCAACATTGAATATTGCATTTCCCCAATTTAATTTTACAATCACATACAAATGGCACTGGTTAAACAAAGTACACTATAAATTTGTGCTTGTTATTTATCAATATGGAGTTTTGAATTTAATTGCCTAGGACTCGATGTTATAATGCTTGCGAAAACTTGGGCAAGCCTTGCAATCTCACTTTAAAATTTGTCGATTTTTTGTAAAAAACAAAGATTGCCAGTTGAGGGAATATTTTAAATTATGTGTACAGAAGTGCCTATGCTCTACATGGGCTTAGAAGGCATAAAAAGAATTTGTTGGCTACTAGTGTATGTGGTGTCATTCCAGAAAAGCCAACTATACACCCACTATAATACATAGTAAGAAACTGTCAAATATCATACAAGACAACTATGACACTCACATAGATAGACTCCCAGGGCAGTTTGAGGAGAAATGGACAGATAAATACATACACTGTAATCACAAACAATTGTTCAATGAATGTCGGTGTCTATGACATTTTACAATAAGAATGAGAGAAATTAACAAAATAAGAGTATTAAAACATCTAAATCACACAACAAATATTAATAAACATATTATACAGAACATTTAAAAAATAACAGTGTCCTAATTTGATAGAACTGTCCGAAGCACAAGGGAATGAAGTTGAAATACAAAAATATTACAGATGACGTACGATAAGTGAGACAAGAGCATGCTGGCATATTGTTAAGTAATAGGACACTAAAGGTACATAAGTACATGGGAAAGGCATCCAGCCCACCAAGCATCAAGCAAATGAGTGTAGAAAATTCACACAGATTTTTTTAAAGTACGGAATGTAATGTATACCCTACAACATTCTTTTAACCATTAAACTCCCTCCTTAGCAGTTCACTTCACATTAAGAGAAATAGCTGCTTTTCTTCTCTTCCTGCTGCACTACCAAGAGGCATGCTCTTACATTAATAAACTTGCATGGCCTAGGAGTATTCAAAGTCTTTGCATGCCAACCTTGCAAGGACCACACGTATCTCACAAGAGTGTCACTAAAAATTAAACATGGAAATAAAATGGACTCACTCATCACATCTAACAACATAAAAGACTGTGGACACATCAACACAGCCTAAAAATTACTCTAAGATCAAACACATTACGTTTCAACTAATAGTTACACTGCGTGGTAGAAATAGATACAAAGGCTTAGATTGCTAGATGAGCAGAATGGATTTATTACGTTTCTCATGCGCCGCATTGATGCTCCCACGGATAGGGAGAAAAAAGGGATAAATAATCTAAACGCAGGAAATACATAGTACGAAAAAAGGGTCATCAAACACACTGCTGCTATGGTAGCCTGGCTCCCCAGTGCGTAACACAAGCACGTAACATGTACAGTTAAAATATGGAGTGGTGAGTTGTTGAATGGGCGCCCCCCAGGCCCCCCAGGGCGACAGGCCTGTCCTCGCCCCCGCACCCCGCACTGGGCCCCGGACTTCCCTCTAGGGCCGGGCACACGGCGTCGCGGCGCGGCGTGGCGTGGCGGGGGCAGGCCTGGTCTCGGCGCTCGGACGGCTGCTACGGGACCGAACGAGTGCGTCCGGTTCCACACCCAGGTACGCGCACCTGTACCTCGGCAACACCTCCGCGACCTCCAGCGGACGCTCTTGCACGGAACAGACCTAGAAGTCAAGGGGCTGGTCCGCGCTGCCCTCTACGTCCGAATCGTCGTCGTCGTCCTCGTCGTCGTCGCTGTCCTCGTGGAGCTGGTTGCTGTCCTGAGATTGGGGCTGAGCCTTGTTGGGTTTGTTGAGCACCTCTGCGGAAGAACAGTGAACTTGTAACACAGGGGATGTTTCCGTGGTGCGATGCACAGTTGAAAAGAGCGCGGTACTCACCGTCGCACGAGGGCTTGCCAAAGATGCGGGTCCCCGCCACGGCGACGCCGTGCTTGTCCACGCACCAGCACACGTTGCCCGTCGGACCGCACTGCACGGGGCGGAAGAAGCCATCCTTGTCGCAGTCCGGAACGTACACCTCTGCAAAACGAGAAGCAGAAGTAAAGGATCGACAACCACTGACAACAACCGACGTCAACTATGGGATGGAACGGTGTCGGTTAGATAGTATATGCCATCTTTGCGGTGAGTTTTAGCGTCCAAAATTTTCCCGGCAAAAAATTGAAAAAAATTAATACTTTTAGAAAAAATCGAAAAAAAAAATGCAACTTATTAGGAAAAAAATTTATGAGATTTAAAAGAAAATCTTGAAAAGTTCCCGAAAAATGCTTTTCTGGAAAATCAAAATTGCTAGCCGTGTGCAAACATGGCACAGACGTCTTCTCGACCCCCGGTATGCAGATGGGAACATACCTCGGAGAGCCTTGGGGGACATGCCTCGCTTGACGGCCTCGCACGGCCGCTCCGTCTTCTCAAAGCAGCGGCACCACTCGTCGGGGCTCACAAACACGTCCCTGGAAAACGACCCATCGTTAGCAAAGCGCGATACAGTCCTACACACGCACTAAAACCAAACACGAGATGGGGGCGCCTACAGGTCTGTGTCGCAGGAGTCCAGGAACGGCTTCATGCACTTCTCGCTTTGGTCGTGCTCGAGACCGTACAGCTCGTGAAGGGAGAGCCGCTGGTCAGCGTCACGGTCCAGGTGGCCGAACATCCAGCGCACCTCGGTCTGGCAGGCGCCGGGGAAGTTGGCTGAAAATAAAAAGAAGTTAAGTTTCAGCAGGTTGAGAATATGGAGGTCGTGAAACAACTCGACGCGAGGTGGTCAGTCCCTGTTTACGACTCGCAAGACTTACCTTTAGAGGAGGACCGCTGTCGGGGGCGGCGGCGGGTGGCGGCGTCGGCCATGACCACCGAGAACCAGTCCAGCATGCGATCGCCCATGCTCTGCAGCTGCGACGGGCTGCACTCGGCGGCGGCGGCGGCGGGGCCCCCGGTCACGGGCCGCTCCTCGGAGCTGGGCTTGCCCTCCAGCACCTCGTTGAAGACGCGCTGCTTGTCCTTGTCCTCGCCCTGCAACACCCGTCATCGAGCATCGTTAGGCGGCTTCCTTAGAGATCATCCATAAAGCGGGTCCTTCATTTTGCCGTTGCGAAACTGCCCAGTGCACACAAAGGAAGCTCTCGTAGCGCCTGACAGATAGGCAACTTCTCACATGCAGTGCATGCGTGTACTGCGGGCTGGCCTACCAGGGCCTACTCTGAGTCTCGCAGGCGCCGAGCTCCAGTAGTTCAGCGGGTGAATCTCAGTAAAACAGACGTATTTTCAGGACGATTCCATAAGAACTTTACAATCCGAAAGTTTTCCGGAAAAAAATAAGTTATTTGCAGAGAATTTGGAAAAACTTTTTATAAAAGTAATTGGGAGATTTTAAAAAAATAAAGTCCATTTTTGTTCGGAAAATTAATATTCCCAATTAATTTTTAATGAGGACGGCTAGTTCTCCTGCCACTACACATTACCTCCGTTACATAACAACAAATTACACGCTCCGCCAGCCCCGCCCCCATCGGCTTCAAAACTTGGTGCTCGTGTCGAGTTGTGTCGTGAGCCGGGGGCGCGGTGCAGGCAGAGCGCCCTGCCCGCGCCGACTCCACCCCGGTCGCCAACTTCAAGGAGAGTGCCCCCCCCCCCGTCCCTCTTCTCCCAACCACCACCACTACTACCTCTCTGTCGGAGCGACGAGCGAACAGGGAAGCGAACACTCCACTTTCAACCTGGCTGTGCGCGGAGCGGCCCCGCCCGCCGGCTCCACCCGTCAAGTTGTTAAAGCAGCTTAGTGCAGCCGCATTAGCCGCAAGCCTTAGTGGTGCCTATGCCCCACCCCCACCCCCCAGCACCGCCGGAACTCGGTCCGGAACAATTGTGTGGCACTAGAAGCCTTTGCAAACCAAAGCGCAGAGAGAGAGAGAGAGAGAGAGAGAGAGAGAGAGAGAGAGAGAGAGAGAGAGAGAGAGAGATGTGGCCAGTCCGGCGAGGCGGGTCCGTTCACGAGACACGATGGTGAGGGGGTGGAGGAGGGCGAGCAGGAGGACGGCGAGCACACGCGTGCGGCTTCCCACAGCTCAACCCCATTGGGAATCTGTACGCTCCCATCCCATTACTAGTATCCACCCCCCCCCACCCCCCCCGTTTCAACCCGTCCTCTCTGTCTTTGTCCCCCTTTCCTTTTCTCTCCCTCCCCCCCCCTCCCCCCAAATCTCTCTCTCTCTCTCTGTCTCATTTTCCCGATAACGCGTGTGGAGAGTGGGGGGACAAAGGGTGGTGAGGTAGGGGAGGGAGAGGGAGTCGCTTTTTCTTATTACTTGTTCGCGACGACAACGCCCGCCGGGCCGGTCTCCTTGACTCTCGCGGCGTGTGTGTGTGTGTGTGTGTGTGTGTGTGTGTGTGTGTGTGTGTGTGTGTGTGTGCATGCGTGTGCGTGCGCCTGCGTGTGTCACGCGGGTCATAAGTCACACTAATGCCGCTCATGCCCGATTCGGCTGCCGCACCGCGCCCCGCCGCGCCCCGCCGCGCCCCGCGTCTGCGTCGGCTGCATTATAAATCCATTACGCGTGAGGCTCGGCTCTCCCTGGAAGACAACTCCCCCCATCACGGCCGGTAGAAAGAAGTGGAAGGAGAGGTGGAAAAAAAAACGAGGGGCGCGGGAAAAGGGTGGAGGCCTTCTATCCTTGTCCTTTCGCTCTCGTGGCGTAGCGATAGAAGGGGGAAAAACTTTTACTTTGGCGCGCAAGGCTTTTTTTGGTGGGGAATTTTTGTTTTACTCCTTTTATTTGGGGGGGGGGACATTGACCATGTGTTTTCGCAAGAAAGAAAAAAGGTCCTGCAGGTCCAAGTCCGTGTGCTGACGGGGCTGCAAGGCAGGTCTGACGACGCAAGCTGCAGTGGTCGGGGGTTCCTTGACTTCGCTACAGAGCGCACCGCGATGCTCTGTACTCTGTAGTGTGCTTTGCTGTACCGCGGCGAGGCGCGCCACTGCGGCTCCATAGCTCTGTGCACGCACAGGATGGGAGGGGCGGAGGTGAGGGGGGAGGGTGGGGCAGCACTTTCAAGTTGTCGAGGCCTGAAGCGATGCTGGAAACTTACGTCTTTCCCCCCACTCCCCCTCCCTTTCCTCCTGCCACCATCGCACCCCCTTTGGATGACTTGGCACCTCTCCACCAACTGGCCGCGAGCGGAGCCAGGAGGCTAGCGAGGCTCGAAAGCCTAGGAGAGTAGACAGGGAGGGAAGGAGAGGAAGTTAGATAGATGGATGCGGCCATCGAGGGAAACACGCCTGCCT